CTTTAGTTGTACAGATATATTACAATGCTGACATGTATATCAAATATATTGATTAATTTACTGTGTCTCCCTGATAATGCATACTATCTATCTTTTAGCATCCAGTACAGGGCAGTGGTGTCCTGGATCCAGTCCCAGGCAGCATAAGGCACAGGTATTTATGTACACAAAGCAAGGTCCATAAAGACATGGTTGAGTGAGTTTGGTATGGAAGAACTTGACTGGCCCACACAGAGTCCTGACCTCAACCCTATCAAACTCGTATGAGATGAACCAGAATGCAGACTGCAAGCCAGGCCTTCGCATCCAACATCAGTACCTGACCTAACAAATGTGGATGAATGAGCAAAATTCCCTATGACTAGGGTGACCAGATAATCTATGTCAGGGAGGACACTTTGAGCTACTTCGTGTTTTACAAACTACTTTCAAATTGAAAGGCTCCTGTGCTCGACCAAATAGTTCAGCTTTTCTTGTGTTTTGACTAGTTTGTTTCCTTGACTGAAAGACTCATCCAGCTGTTTCACATTAGCATTAGTGACACATGCATGATTATAAGAGACTGACCAATCAGCACACAGCAAGAACTCAAGTGAAATCCAGGTCCTTTTAATTGAAATGGTAACTTACAATTCCTGTCCTGTCCTGTCTGGTCACCCTAACATAGTCTGCCACTTCATCATGGCTGTGTGTCTGTTGCTCCTAAACACTTTGCAATAATACCATTTACAGTTGACTGCAGAATATCTAGCAGGGGAGAAATTTCACAAACTGACTTATTGCAAAGGTGGCATCCTATGATATACAGTACCATACTTGAATTCATTGAGCTCATCAGAACAACTCATTCGTTCACTCTCATTTATTCTTTTCAATGTTTGTAAACCTGACTGCATCACTAGATGCTTGATTTTATACACCTGTGGCAATGGTTCTGAATGAAACATTTGAATTCAATAAGAATTCAGTAAGAGGTGTGTCCCAATCCTTTTGTCTATATAGTGTACATTACCTTGCGTGTGTGTGAATATCTGAATATCAGAAGTCGAACCGTGAACGCTGACCTAATATAAATTGTACGCGCCAGGAAATGAGTCATACTACAATGCAATTCTTTACTTGAATGCCTTCTTCACAGACTGGACGATTAACCAAATAAAGCAGCGCAACATTACAGTAACTAACAATAAATAAACCACTAACTTACCTGTACTATTAAAGCATTTATGTCTTATTTAAACTTTATTTTACCAGGCAAATTAACTGAAAACCAGTTCTCACTGCTTTACGTGATATTCGGGAGAAATAGCAGATTACACACCGGAACTGCCTGGGATACAAACGTCATGCGTGTAACTAAACTCTTCAGCCAATAAGGGCAAAGGTGTGTCGTCACGGAGGCGGTTCCAGTTTGTGCAGCCGGGTGAGAGGTCGCAATGCATCTAACCGTAATGCATTGCGTCAGGATCAGAATGCGTTGCTTTAAGCCAGCGCTGAAAGCAAGTCAAACGCACCCAATGACCGGACTGGGGAAACAAACTGAAACGCGGACTTAATACAGAGGACTAATGTCAACAACCAGAAACAGCTGATCACATGGGGATCCCACACGAGGTTAACGTGGGGGCGTGGCACACGGAAGGAGCGGACGATCGAGGCAGGACAGGGGTAATGCTAGGATAAGATATTTATCGTTTTGGAAGCCATTAAGAAAAAAATTATCTTCTTGTTTTATCCTGTTCATTTTGTGTTTAAATGCTAAAAAAAAAAAAAAACATATTTAGGCGTAATTTTGGGGGGCCGGGAACCAATTAATTGGCTTTCCATTATTTCTTATGGGAAAAATTCGATCAGAACTCGAACTTTTTAGGATTCGATCCAGAGTCCGGAACGGATTAAGTTTGAGAACCGAGGTACCACTGTATTCACGATTAATGCACCTAAAGAGATTAGGCCAGCTGTAACCTTGATTTGATGTTGCATTAAGTCAATAGTAAAGGATTGGTTTCAACATTGGTAGGGAACAAGTCAGCCCCTCACTCCCAAGCCCCCCTAAACACACACGTTACTCGGTCTCCCACAGTATTGGCAGGGACATGTCTCTACCATCCATATCCAAATCTACGCCCTTGCCTTAAGTACTGTGATGGAGAGCTGAGTTAAATTTTGAGTCTTTTTCTGTTGACTTTCAAGCAGATTCAAAAAGAGCTGGTTTTACCATGGGAATACTCAGTTCTTCATTCTGTATTTGAAAATATAAAAAAATTTGAGACAGTGAAATCTGCATCAGTCCTTCATTGTTTAATTACATGTTTTGCCTTAATTAACAAGGCTCCTGACTGAACAGGATGCTTTGTGAAGAGGCTCAATGTTGAGCGAGGGCATGAAAATGAACCAATAAAGTAATATGGATGCAAATGGAAAAGAATAGTGGCACTGTAGTCGTGGGCACGATCTCTGAGGCACTGCCAATCTGGAGGCTGTTATGTGGCTGTGATGACCTGGCAGTGGAAGCGGAATCTGGTGGTTGATTTTAGAGAGACAGAAATAAGGACAGAGGGCAACATTGAGGCAGTGATAGGGAAGTAATCAAGGGGGGGGGGCTGTGGGGTCTACATGCTCAAAAAATGACAATCAGTCTTATGTGAAGGTTTGCTAAGCGAGAAAAGAGGAACTTTTCCAGGCCTCGGCTCTGCGGCATGTTCTACTGAGCCCATGTGAGTCTGAGACGATTCTTAAAGCACCCAATGGAGTCAGGCCAACAGCTTCTCCTTGGCTAGAGATGATCTCAATATCCCCCAAATGGGGATATGCCACAGTGAGTTTGCTGAATTCTGAAAATCTTCCACCACATTTTGATGTCAAAAATAAAGTACCTGTATTAGTGTTATGATGGAATGGAATTATGTATGGAATTTCCCCATTATTTTTTTTAGATATAGATTTAGATATATGAAGACATTCTCTGTTTAAAATTTTTTTTTTAGAAGTTTTTCAACAAGCAGTAATACGCACATGGTGGAAGTGTTCAAACCAGTTCATTAATGGCAGGCAGGTCATTTCTTTTTGATGCATAATTGTATGTGAACTCATCATTGCTTTATAGATCTAATATACCACACCTTACATGTTGCCAAAGAGCATAATGATTTCTACAGTGCTCAGCAAAATAATGACATTTAATCATCTCCACAGCTTTAACAATATAACGGTTGATAATAATTCAAATTCTGTTACATCTAAATTGCTAATCAAAGTGAGTGATCAAAGCGTACAGCAATTTTGTTCATTTGAAATGTCAAGTAACCTTTTTATTTGATGCATATCAGCTGTTTCAAAGCACAGACATACTAAAACAGTGTGGATTCGCTACGTAAGTTCAGCGGCCAATTTATTAGGAACACCTGTTTACTAATGCAAAAAGCCAAACGGTGAACTTTGTGGCTGCACTGAATATACACAGCATGCAGACTGGGTTAAGTGGTTGTTCAGCTAAGCATCAGAACAGCTAAGACGAGCGATGTAAGACAATTTGGATGCGGTTCTAGGATTTTAGATACAGCCACACTTTTCATGCACTCTAGTGTCTAGAAAATAGTACGACGTACAAAAAAAGAATCCTGTCAATGGTATTTCTGTAGCCAAGACCACATTGAGAGAGGTCAGAGGAGAATGACCAGATTAGTTAAAGTTAACAAGAAGGTCACAAGTGTAGAAAGAACAGTGCAGCACAGCAGGGGTCTGCAGAATAGCTTCTCTGAATACATGAACCATTCTAGGTTCTATACTGTCAGATACCTAACAAACCAGTCACTGAGTGTGGAATAATGGTGTAAACTTACATAACATGATTTGATAAAATTCGGCAACATGCAGACTTTTATATTGATAGATGTGTTGCAAATTCAGAAAACTCTTTAGTCAAAATGAGTATACCCGTGCTGCATTTTCCAAATGTTGCAAATTGACAGACATGGTGGTGCAAATCCTGAAGTACCATTTATATTGATATACTTTTATTGTGTTAAAATTAGGGTTCTATTAAATATTTTGAATAGTGACCAATAGTAATCCTTTGTGGTTGTAAGCAATGCAAGAGCTTTGATTGTAACATTACACAGAACCCTCAAATTCCAAGCTAAAATCAAACTATTCAGTTAGAATCTCACAAGGAATTTGATGGAAGGGAATTCCACACATATATACAGTAAATGTAGAGTATTTGTGTTCTCATTTGATTAAAGTATTTTCTAGATTTGTAGTGAGTTGACACTAATCGGCCACGGATCATAAATCCACCTAGGCTGAGCTTCCAGTGAATGCCTAGACGCAAGTGTAAAAGCTACACTGCAGGCACACAACAGTTATTAACAAAATAAGAACCTAATAGGTCTATCCAAGCGCCACAAGTGCAACATAAGAACATTAAAAGACATAAAGAGGCATCAGCTTAGTTGAGGGGTCCATGAAACAGACTTGGTGTGTTACTTGAAGGTGGAAAAGGAGTCAGATGACCAGATGTGGTTCAGCAGTTCGTTCCACCCTTGGGGAGCCACACAAGAGGACCATATGGAGTGACACTTCTTGTGTAGAGGAGCCTTTTGATGTAAATGGGTGCCTGTCCATTGATAGACCTGTAAGCTAGCACCAAGGACTTGAACTTCATGCTAGCGCCAATAAGTGACCCATGAAGAGAGGTGGGAGGTGTGTGACATGTTTGAGTTGTAAGAATATCAGATATGCTGCTTAGTTTTGAATCATTTGCAGTGGTCCAATAGCACTAACTGCTAGACCTGCTAATTGCAATAATCTCGTCGTGAGGTAACAAGTGCCTGGACTGGATTGTTAGGAGCTCCAGTCTAGTGTTGGAGCCCGACAGAAAGGAAAGGGAAAGGGTAAGGGAAGAATGAGACAAACAGGGAACAGGAAAAGGGAACATGAGAAACGAAGGGATCTTTTTTTTTTTATTTTTTTTTGTATTTTATTCACAGACACTTCACAAACAGCAGATGCAACAGGACTTCGGGAGTGACCCAGGCCAAAACAACAAACAAAAAGAACTAAAGAACATGTCCCAAAACTAATCTAAACCTAAGTGTAACAAAAGGGGAAATTAAACAACAAAACTAAACCTATCTCCCTAACCAAACGTAAAATAAATCACCACGTCTCGCAAAACAAAAAGGCAGTCACTCCTTACGCACCACAGTACAAACACACAGTAAACACACAATCCAAAGCGACAGTGTCCGAGGGGGCGAGCAAAAGAATAGTCAACAAACAGGTGGGAGAGAAAAATCAAAACGAGATAATCAAAGCCGAGGCGAAGGTACAGAGAAAGGGCGAGGTGAAAATCAGAAACCAATAACCAAAACTATCATACACGAATCCAAAACCAATAAAGCAAACGACAATAATCAAAAAAATCAATTAGCAGAGCTGCAGGGGCTGGTGACCAGCAGCCTTTTCTCCCCAGGAACCGGACGTCAGGAACAGCACAGAGGATGGAAAAGGCGTGGCCAGAATCCGGAAGGTGGGGCTGAAGAGTCAGCTGGCGAGTGGAGATTGGAGGCAGAAACCAGATGACCTGCAGATACAATCCCAGACCTCTTACAGGATACTAAACTACATATTCAGACAGAAAAGGCCTGATCTTCCTGTTGTTACACTGGGCAAATCTGCAAGATCAGAAGAGCACTGGTATGTGCTCAGCAAAGGACAGCTAGCCATCCAACATTACCCCCAGGATCCTTGTAGATCTCGAAGGAAACTGTGTGGATAACCCAAGCTGAACAGTCCTGATAAATGGTAGGGCAGGAAAGAAAGATCAGAAGCTTAGTCTTGCAGAGATCTAGCTGGAGGTGATGGTCCCTCATCCAGGCTGCAATATCAGCCAGGCATGCAGAGATCCGAGTGGAGACCATAGTGTTCTCGGGAGTGAAGATCAAATGGACCTGGGTGTCACTGGTATAACAGTGGTAGGAGAAGGCATTGCAATGGATAATCTGACTTAGAGAGGTAATGTAAAGAATGAAGAAGAGCGGACCAAGGACAGTGCATTGAGGAACACCGGTTGCTACCTGATGTTACACAGGTTACACATAAAACTACAAAGGACTGTTGCCTTTGGATTTTTTCAGAGACGTGGCTGAATCTCAGCATACCAGATACTGCAGTTGAGCTAGCAGGACGCACACTACATCATGCCGACAGCATACCCGATTCCGGTAAGAAAACAGGACTCTGTATCTACACTAATAATGCTTTCACCACCAATACAACCACAACCAATAAGTTATGTTCTCTAGACTTTTAATATCTTTTGCTAAGATACAAACCATTCTACCTGCCCAGAGAACATTCAGTTGTTATTTTTATGGCAGTATACATACCGCCATAGGCTCTCACCCCTGTCATCGCAAAGTGTTTTTAACGACTGGTACTCAGCCACATTAAAGCCTTTGTCCCAGTCGATCTTGAGCAACACCAGTCTGCCTACCAGACAAACAGATCGACTGAGGATGCCATCTGGGTGGCTTGCATGCTGCCCTCTCCCAATTGGAAAAGCCCAACACCTACATTAGGATGTCCTTCACTGAGTACAGCTCAGCTTTTAACACCATCGTACCAAGCCACCTGATCAACAAATTAGGTTTACCCCCCTCCATATGCCACTAGTTACATGAACTGCCCCCAATCCATCAGGCTGGGAAGTACACATCATCCACCCTCACACTGAGCATTGGTGTGCCTCAGGGCTGTGTGCTAAGTCCCCTCCTCTATGTACTTTCCACCCATGACTGTCAACCCACCCACGAATCAAACATTACTGTTAAATTTGAGGATACAACTGTCATTGGACTCATATCAAACAATGACGAAGCTGTATATAAGGAGCAGGTTTAGAACCTGACACCAACAACTTGGTCTTAAACACCAAGAAGACTAAAGAAATCATTGTGGACTTTAGGACTGCCAAAGAGACCAATAACAGTCCAGTAACCATTAAAGCAAAAGGTGTGGAAAGGGTATCCAGGTTCAGGTTTGTGGGAGTCACCATCACAGAGGACCTCTCCTGGGCTGACAACACCTCAGTGGTAGTCGGCAAAGCACAACAACACATCTACTTTCTGAGAAGGCTAAGGAGGGCTAACCTCTCCCAGAAGCTGCTGGTTAACTTTTACAATCACACTATAGATTTTGACTAACTGCATGATTGAGTGGTACAATACAGCAACTGCACCAAAGCTGCTAAAAATGGCACAGGCCATTGTCGGCAGGGAACTGCCATCACTTGACCATCTACACAAGACTCAATTGCTGTGTGAAAAGGGCTAAAACATCATGAAGGACATCATCCTGGACATACGTTGTTTAAGCTCCTCCTCTCAGGAATGTGCTTTAGCACAATCCATACACATACAAACAAGAATTCTGAATTCCCTCAGCGTGAGATAATCTCTCCCTGCATATGTGCAATAAGTTATGTTGATAATGTACAGTACACTTCTTGCTAATATGTGCAATAATAACCATTGCCACTGTGCACTGGGCACGAATAATCTGTTCTTTTTTTTTTTTAGAACAACATTGTCTGTAGAAGGGCCATTTAAACGTCTTTGTATGATTATATTATTTTTAGCTTCTAGTTTGTATCTTGACTTGAATCTTGAATGATGGGTCTGACAGGTAGGAGTCAAGCCAGCGCAGAGCAATCCTAAGGTGAGAGAGAGTGGCCAGGAGGACCTGGTTATTAACTGTTTCAAAAGCTGCAGAGAGGTTCAGAAAAGTACAACCTAAAGCATATATAAAATATCAAACCAAAAAAGTTAAATATTTGGCTTTTTTTGAAAAGGAGACAAATTACCACTCAATTTTAACTATTCTGAACTGCAGACAATTTGTTCAATTCCTGAATTTGATAGATTCATTCTCCAATTCCCATAAATTAGATGTTTAAGGAGAAGACAAAGACAAACTTGATTAAGGCAAACAACTTTAATGCTTGCCACTTATAAACAGTCTCTCATTGCCCACTAATTCATACAAAAGAGACAATTCAGCACTGTGAACTACTGCTTGACCAATGTTAAAATGAAATAGGATAAGGTCAATTTGATCTACACTTAAAGTATCACCCATCATTGTCCTCATCTCCGCCAGCCAATCTTTAACTGCTCTGCCGCCTCCTCTGGCTCTTGCTCAAATATGGCAGGAGGCCACTAGTGGTATAAGTCTTTTTTCATCTTTTAAAATTTCAAATTAAGATTCTTTTAATATTTAGAAAGTCATTTCTCATGCAAGCTCTTCGCCTAACCCTCTTGCTGGGGAACAGCCTGAAGAACAATAAGGGGATTTTTTTTTTATCCTTCTGTGGAATGTGCAGGTGAAATAGTCTTCTTAAATGTCATGTTACAGACTTGCCAACCCATTTTCATGTCATTGTACTTGAAAATGTACGGTGACTTTGGAAATATGTACCTGCATAGTATCATTAGGGATTATAACAATGCTTTCCTGGGGTACCTGAAAGAACACGCCTAAAATAAAACAAAGAGCATCCCTCCTGTGAATGTTAAAACAGCTCAAAAGAGTCCATTAATTCTATTATTATAGGGGCCTACCTCTTCATAACTAGACATATTATATATAGCATGGATGACAGGTCATATAAATAGCAAGTTCAGACGGGTAAAAGGTTACAGGAGTGATAAAGGTTCAGGTGAAAGGAGGCATATTGCTTTGGTTCTTTCTCAGTTCACTATACAATTTTAGTGTCGCATTTCCCGCAAAGAGCTCATTGATTTGCATCATTATATCATTAATTGTATCAGTGCAGCGTCCCAATTTTACCTTGATCTACATGAAGAGAAGGCAAACACATTTTTCATTGCTGGGCTGCTTAACCTTTTTGTTTCCAGAGCCTTTCTAGGAGATGCTTATCTGGCTCCTCTCCCTTCTATTTCAGGTTCATTTTCCTGTACAGGCGCTTATCAGCATTTTACAGGACAAGGTTGACTTAAAATCGTACCCTGTGAACTATACTGTCAAGCACAGGCTATACTGTAAAGCATGAAATAACCTAATATTATTACAGTCATCGGCATTGGCTAAATTCAGTTTGTAATATAGATATGTTCCCATGAGTCAGCTGGATATGTGGACAATTACTTTGCCCCGCCATTTTGCAAAAACGCTTATTGTCATATAAAATTGCCCCATTTTGGAAACTGCCATGACAAATAACACCATGCACTGTATGCGTGAGATACTGGGAGATACCGGAGAAATAAGGGAAGCAGGCAGGCCTCACACATTGATATTAATGGGATTGTAGTAAGATCACTTGAAAGTCAAGGCCATAAAGACCTTTCTGAATAGATGTAATAAATATGAATTCAGATGGTCCCTGCTTGATTCAATTCAATCTTGTTTGGAATGGATGTCTCATACAAAAAGGTCCTATTAATTTTCATCACAGACATGTCCCCACGCATTTCCTTTAATTGTCATGCAACACACTACTATAATTAACATTCATCAAGGGCCGTGCATGGGGAGGTTTAACGTCTGCCTCTGTATGCTTCGCAGGCACGTTTCACTATATTCACAATCACAGTGGGTGTAACTTGGGACTGAATGATTATAACTGGTTGAATTGTCCGAGGTGTTCAGACATCTTCACTGCCAAAATACTAATAGCAACAAGATAACAGACACATATATAGGGTTGTTGAGAATGGAGAGACGTTCACACACACACTAAATGAGTTATAATCCTATCAAAATTAAAGTTTCAATCTTACTAGATATCCGAAAGGGAGTAAAGAATGTTCTGTTTTTTTTTAATGTACATAACATTTCCTGCTTCAATTATGATGTAGACTAAAAATGATCTCTCTTTCTGATGTGATTTCATCTTTATATTTAAATGTAGATAAGGCTAAATCTCTTTTTAAATGGAAGGATAATCTCAAGTCGAATAGTATCCATGATGCCTCTATTATAAGCCACTATTTCGCACATAAATCTACACAATCCCTACTGACTAACTAGAATTTCTCCCTTTTACCTCACCAGGTGTTATTTTGTATTTGTATTAATTTATATTCTTGTTGTTAATTGAGCATTTTCACTCAGAGAAACTTGCCATTCAAAACATGTCGCAAAAAATAATAAGTCAAACAAAACTCATTGCCATTATCACCAATTAACATGATTATTCTTTAAACAAGCTTGGAATAATAACGACATAAACATTTGTTATGGGAAATAAAACGTGCATTTTTTTCTTTCGATGCAGGCAGAAGATATTCGAGGACAGTCAGAGATGCAGAACAGCAAAGCAAATAGATGATATGTTATTGTCAAAGTAGTGAGTCCTCTGGCTCTGCTGTAAGGGAAAATGCAGCAAACACAGACTTTCATTGCTGTTATGGATGAACCCAAGTTTATGCAGTAACCCATAATTAATAGACATAATGACACAAGGATATAACCTTGTCATGTACTTGCTAATCTTTTTAGGATCATCTTAGTCTCTGCAGTTGCCTGTAGTCAGACCCAATATCAGATTCTCTGAACAATGAGGTCAGTGGCATTAAAGTCCCCCATCACACAGACAGCCCCACAAGAGCTCTTAATTGTAATTATGTCATCGTGAGGAGCTCAAGCATTTAATGGCTCCATGCAAAGTGTGACCTCCTGCAATTTCATCAAGGTATTGACCCCCAGCTGTTTTTCTCCTTCTTTATAGCAGGGTAAAACAGACACGAAGATATGGGTGCTGCAACGATACTGCAATTTTCCAGTTTACTGGGCCATTTAGTGTCCAATGTGGCCAAAATGGAGTCATGGTGAACATACAAATACAAAACAAGTGTGACCTAACTACACATATATTAGGACTGCTAGCTTGCAAGTAACTTTATTACAGAAGAGTAATATATAGTCTGTATATTTAAATGTCTCTTTTTCAACACTTCAATCTATATGTATTTATCTATCTGGTGTTGATGTCTAGCCGGTGATGCTGTGATATGGAAAACGAGTGATAAGTGATACAGAGGATTAATTATTGGATGGATGGATGGATGGAGGGATAGATATTAGTGTCTGTAGCAACCTGCTTAGCAAAATATCTATCTATCTATTCATCTATCTGGCTGTTAGGCAGTGAGTGGCTCAGTGAATTATGTCTTTGTGCCCGTGGTCAGAAGGTTGCTGGTTTGAGCCCTGGCCTCAGCACACATGTCACATATCAGTGGGCCCTTGAGTGAGGTTGTTAACCAGTAGCACCTGGGGTGCTGTGACCCCCCCCCCCCCCTAAAAGCTATGAAGAGCATAATGAGCTGGAGGCAAAGAGAATAATTCCAAGGTACCTCTCCTCATACTGAATGATTTATCATCTATCTTCTTATCCAGAACAGGGTCCCAAATGGGAGATTCCAAGTAGCATTGAACTATAATACAAGAAAACACAAGATGGCAAAAAACAAAAGCAGTATAATTATTACATATTTCATGTCATGTTGCCCTACATGGACATCCTACAAAGATTAGTGCAAGGTCATGCTGCAGAATCTGCAAAAAAACCTAAAAAGACAGCTAATGATCTTCAGGCATCTCCTACACTATCATCATGTGTTCAGTCCCAAGAGATTCTACAAGAAGATCTTAAGGCGTCATCAAAAAAAGAGTAGCTAGCACCAAAAATATTGCAAGTACAGGAAATTAAATAGTTTTGTATCAAAGACTAGGCCAAAATATCTCCTGATCAAGTCAGAACTGCATCTACAGAAAGTGGTTGGTACATGTTACTGCCTTAAAGGAGGTTCCATTAATTACTAAATGTAAGGAATCACTTACGATTTCCATCAATTACTTTGACTCTTCAAATAAATTTTTCTACATACTGTGTGTGTTTTTTGTTAGACGAGATGAACAAATTATTTATTACTGTGACTCAGATGAAGACAAGATCATTATTTAGGTGCCAATTTTACAGAAGTCGAGATATTTCCAAAAGCTTCACAAACTTTTTTTTCCAGAGCTGTAAATGATTAAGCATAATTAAATATCTCAATATAATCTGTTGAATTATTCAATTTAGCCGTTTTATGAGAAGGTGATGACTGGAGACCAAGTCTCTGCATTCTGTAGTTTCAGACGACTTCCTTATGCAGCTGACTGAGTGCATTAGGAGATCTTGTTAACATTTGAATTTTAAAGTTCTCTTCATGATGTCTGTGTTCCTGCATGTTAACATTAAATCAGTTTGGCACTAGTTCTTAGACCTGCTTTCTCATTATTATTATCATACAGAGATGGAATATGGGTCACGAGTGCTCCCACATTCATATGGGCTGGACTCAGACCTGCAGTTATCCAGTGAATGTGCCTGGCCATACTGTACATCCAGTGCACTTGGGTGCACAAATTCTGAAGTGCAAACAAAGTGTGACATTTGGGGAATGTCTGACTCAGATCATCTTCGTGCCCAAACACATTGTCTCATAAAAATAGACAAATGAAACCAATTGCTGTTATTGGTCCCTTCATTCTCATTGTCATTTTCTTTTGCTTGACGAGGTCCTCCCTTCAAGCAGAGATCCCATTTGTCACAGAAAACTGGAATATCTTTCCAGCGTTTTGTTTCAAAATAAAGAAAGGGAGTGAACAAAAAAAGTCAATAAAACTGACCTGTGTCTCAGATGGATGATAAAAAGAATATGACACAGAAGCCAGAGGCTCTCTTCCTGCCAGTATTAGAAAATAGATATGAAGGAAGGGAAAAGGGAATTCAATCACTGATAGCCCTCATCTTCCCAACATGTGATATATAGGACACTGGGTTCTATACAGTTTATGCAGGCAGGATTATAAAGGCTGTGGGTAAATAGTGACCCCTCCCACTCCTGAAAAGAAAGCAACCGAATTCACACTGTTTATGTTGATATGAGGTAACCTACAAACACTGACAAAAGTAATGAGGACGCAAAGGTCTTCTCACTTGGCTATTAAAAACTGTACTAATTGTCATCAGTGTTTCACATCAGCTGAAGGGCACTCCCTGCTACCTTGGTGCTGGCTCCTCGAAGGTCATGTGACATCATAGGAGGAAGACTGATTGGTGTGCTGGCTCCTCAAAGGTCATGTGACATCATAGGAGCCTCCTTTCAAGAAGCAAGGTTATATTGAGTCATGGACTGGACACTGCTGTTATACCAGAGAGAAAGGTGATTTTATCTCTTTGTCAAACAAAAAGAAACACAATAGGTGCTCCTTCCTCAGAATGTTCTCCTGTCTTCTTTAACATCTCATTTATCTGTCTTATCTTTAATAATGCACCTTCACATCCTTGGCACTTGTGTTGACAGGAAGTGAGAGTAGACATTGACTGACAGTTTCACTTGCTGTTATTCTTAATTACTCTTGTTAATTAAAAAAATCCTGCTATTTGTTTTTTTTTTACTGCCATATACCCAGTTTCCATTAATTGTGAATGAATCTTTTTGGCAATGAACATAACCGCCAGCTGCTGCACATATTTTCTTTATGCAATCTTCCTGTTTGATTTTGTTTTTACTATTGGCTGTATCACTAAAGGTTACACAGAGTACCAGTGAGCTGATCCCAATTTCCGACGTGGAATTGTGTTTTTGAGCGTTACCATCATTAAGAGTGAGGCGGTGCATTTTAATAATGGATTTAAATATCGGATTCTCTTTCAAAAACATTTTGTGGGAAACAAACACATAGTAATATAATAGATGCTTCAGTATTTGTTTGTTTCTTTATTTCCAAAGCCTGTTAGATTTGATTTACTTAATCTATATCTCCTTTGATGTGTAATGTGCATATTTTTATCTCCCAGATTTGTTTGCTCAGATGGAGAAAATGAAATGCTTTCGAATTACTCAATATATAGATGCCCAAGGGAGATGCAAGCATGTGTATTTTCTTGTTGATGTGACAAGCCAATTAGGAATGTTTGAAAGCAAACGAAGGGCATGGTGGCATCCTGATAGACGAGGTTCAGTTTTAACGCTCCTTTTCCCGGGGATCTGTACATAGCAATTGAAACAACACTAATCGGAAAGGCCAAGGAATTGCTCAGGTTGGATTTTCTAAGTTTGTTTATTATCCACAGTGGGAAAACACTTTGATTTCACTGAAGTTGAACTTAAAATGAGCCACAAGTACACTGCCTTCTCATCCAAAGTTTTATATCCAATAAGAAAGATAAGTCAATGGGGCATTGCATTTAAGAACACCAGAGCTACTGGCCCCTCTCATTCTCTTTGCCTGCTCCTGCTGTCAGTTCTACAACTGAAGATAAAAATTGCTTTACAGATTTTTTGGAAAAAGTGAAAAAAAGCTTTTCACAACTGACTGCTTTGAGACTTTAAAAAAGGCTTCAGAGAATGAATTGTCATCGAATGAGTGTAGTCAATTGCATGAATTGCACCCAACACCTCTAAATATGTCACTTTGCATACTGTACACATTTTTTTTTTCTTCAACATGCTTAGAAATCCCAGTTTTCAGTCATCTGAAGTTTATGACCATTGCCTCTCAATGCCCTTTGAATGAAAACATTGAAAAATGATCTCCCTAGACAATCATATTCTTACAGGGGACTAGGACACAGAGTGACTGTTTAATTATCCGTACCTGGAATAATGCTACAAGGAACTCAATGCTAATTCTAATCAGGTCAGAACCAGCCGTCAAAGCTCCAATTTATGTTTGTCAAAGAAAATAATGACTAACAGATAAGAAAATTCCTAGTTGTGTATGGTGAAAATGTCAACTCTGGTTATATCAAAACCAGAATTGCTGATTTTTAAAAAAAAATTTATTCAAGGGTAGAAATTTAAAAGAAATCTCTTTCATTATCAATTAGACGTCTATTTGACCAACAAACTGGATTTAACTTGGATTTAATAATAAAGTTCTAACCATATGCATTCAGAAACTCTCAGTGAATTTTAGATTAATGGATTTGATTTGAGTTATTCAATTAACATATTCAGATAATAGGGGCTCAAATTGAAGGAAATCTTGTAGTCACAGTGCAGTGCCAGGAAAGAGAAGATTTAAACAAGGAATTTAAATGAGGGTGTCTTTTGGCAGTCTTTAACAATGAAAGAACAACTGTTTTTTTCTAAACATGGACCAGGAAACTGGTGGTTATTGTGAGAGGAACAGAGTGCGAATTACCCCTCCATAATTGGGGGGTACTGCCTTCATAACACTTCTATGACCATTACGGTCCGCT